ATTCGCCTCGGGAGCTGTGCTTCCCCTCTAGAAAAATGAGTAATTTAAGGTTAGAAAGGCCAGCAGCGGTTGTCTTAAATGGAGGACGCAGACGTTTTGCATTCAGGCTGCTGACTCGCGTTTATGGAAACAGATCGGGGTGCGCGGGCAGCAGCGCCGACAGCTTGGTTTCAGTGACTTGCCCGGGGCAGCACTCCGCACGCCGGTGGTGGGGGGGTTTTTTTTCCCGGACAAGAGAGCAAATGTTTTGACCCGCACAATGCAGTGCTGGTGCGTTTGACGGGATTTGCTCAATCGCTGTGTGCCCAGAGTTGGACTGTGCCCGAAGCAACTCGGCCATCTGTATCCAACAGTAGTTCCCACTGCATTAAGTTCAAGAAGGTAAACCGTAAAATCCTAAAACAAAAACTTAAGAGTGGCATTATAAATCTTCATGCAACTATTTTCACAAGGAGAAGGAAAAATAGTAAAAACCCCTAAATTTGGAAGTTCCATATTACTTACTGAAGACCTTGCTTTTTATCAGATGCAACAGTTTTGTAGGATAAACAAGTGATGCCACCACTTCTTCTATGAAAGCTTTTTTTTAAAGTGCACTTAAAAATGGATTTTTGTATTGATGTTAAGGCAGCACGTTAATACTTGGAGAAGTTAACTGGCAAGTCTGGATTGTGACAAGATAGATAAGGGAAATCGGTATCTTTGAAACAGGAAAAAAAAAAAGTCTCAAAACTGCATCCCCTCCCATCTGCCACAAATGCTATTTTTGTTACTGTCATTAAGACTTTCCCATGTTCAGTCTGAAATACTAAAAGAATTTTAAAGCATTTCTTTCTATATGAAGCTGCATAAAGGAATTTCCAAACAGAGAAGCAGTACTTAAAATTGAAACAAGTATTTTTGTCATAAGTACTCTCTTGACCTAAGGCTTATACAAAACATTTTCCATATATGACACTCACCTAAAATACATTTAAATAAGTTCAAGTTTGGAAATTTGTAATAAGAGATCATCTTACTGACACTTTGCAGACAGATGACAAACCTGTGGTATCTGAATATGTTTTGAAGTCTGATGCTGAATGTCTTTAATCTATAGTAAGGGGGAAATTTAGCATTTAGCATGATGCTAAAGAATTTAAACATCAGTAATAAGCACAAGTGCTATTTCTGTAAGTTAGATATCAGTTTTATTCTTTTTAGAAATAAATATTTTATGCCCAATCAAAAACACTGAAATCACTGTCACTAAAAATAATAACAACAAAAAAGACATTTTGTGAAGTCAGAGGCCTATGTGCTGGCAAAGACCGAGTGCTCCCTGTGATTTACAGCTGCATTAGCACTCCCGAAGAACTGGAAGGGTAGAGTCAAGCCTGTATCGATCTCGTGGTCTATGCTGGCACTCAGGGCATCATTGACTCTGGAGCAGCAGTGCTACAGAGGCTTCTGTTACCAGCATCCACTACTTTTTGAGGCTATCAAGCACAAGCTGTTTTTGACAAAGCCAGGACTGGTGTACTTCAGATGCATGGTACTACAGAGTGGTTGTACCCCAGTCAGCAAGAAAACTTCTTCCTTCTCAAAACACCTGCAGAGACGTTAACTTAACGCAGCGCGGATGATCCCACAGAGCTTCCAATTCAACAAGATACCCAGTTGTCTCCTAAGAGTATGTCAGGTGCCCTCACATATCTTGGAGAGTCAGCTATGGCCAAAATAGTGTCATTGCTGCCACACAGGTTTCATTTTCTGTTTGCTTGTCCTCACCACTCATCCGTTCCTAGGTAGGAAAGTTGCTGTGTGTGCTCCCTCTGCTTTGTCCTTGCGACAGTGCCAGGCACTGAATACACTTCAGTGGTTTTTGATAAGATGACTTTCCAGCTCCGTATTTTTTGGAGGAAAATCTCTACTCTCTGGTAATTTAGAATGCAGGGCCAGTAAGCATTTCTCAGTCTCCTTAGTTACTCCTTTTAAACTACTTTGTTTCTTGTCAGTTCCAGCTTTAGTTTGTTGCTGCTGTATATCTTTTCATAATACCTTCCTGAATTTTTGCTGGTTGTTTCTTCATTTGACTGACTAGGAAGTGCTTGTATAGCTGTCTGAGCGGCTCTTGATTTTGATCTATTGATGTGTCAGTTCCAAGGTCGAGTGATTATATAAAAAGTAAAATAAATCCAATTAATTTCTAAGTACTTTGCAGTGAGTATAGGAGCAATGTGGAATTACTGCAACATGGAATTCAGCCTTAGACATGTTTTGGCTTTTGAGTTCACTTTGCTTTTAAATAACTTCCCCTCCCCCTTATATTTAGGAAGTACAGAAGTTGAATCAGCAACTAGAGGAGAAGAATGGAGAGATACAGCAGCTGATAAATCAGCCTCCATATGAAAAGGAGAGAGAAATCTTACGACTTCAGAAGAGCTTAGCAGAGAGAGAGAAGGCTCAGGCCACCAGTGATGTTTTGTGCCGTTCACTCACTGATGAAACTCACCAACTTCAACGCAAATTAGCATCCACAGCAGAAATGTGTCAACATCTGGCAAAATGTCTAGAAGAGAAGCAAAGAAAAGAGAAGGGGAATTCAGATGACCAGATACCTACTGAAAGATCTAATCAGGTATTCTTACTGCCACTATGTTTCTTTAAAGTCTTATTAACTTCTGAGGTGTTAATTACAATACAATAGTTGTAACTGGAGAGTGGTGAGAAACATCCCTTTAAATA